CCCCCCCCCCCCCCGCCCAGCCCTGGTCCCGCCCCCTGCCCTCCCCGAGCTCCACTGGACAGCCCTGCTGCCCCCAATCCTGCTTCTGCCGCCCTCACAGATCTCTGCGGGACAGCACCGCTGCTCCCAGCCCTGCTTCCGCCAGCCTCCCGCCTTCCCCCATCTCTGCGGGACAGTCCTACTACCCACAACCCTGCTTCCCAGTGTCTGGTTCTGCCCCCCACCCCACACACACACCTCCTCCCAGCCCGCCCCGCTCTGCTCCACTCCCGGCAGCCACGCTGAGGCCCTGTATTTTTTTCATAGTTTGGGAAATGCTGGTATAAAGCCAACGTAGCTATCTCTATATTGTCTGAGGATTCTCCAACAGCAGGGAGAATCCTTGACAGACTAGTGCAGCTTTCCAGCCCCTTTGTGCGTATGCATAACAGCTGGAGTAGGGGCTGAGGAATAAGCCCTGGGAATTTTCATTTCTGTACATGTCCTTTGGCATGACAATATGGGCAAAACTGCATATGTCAATTTGCACTGAAGTAATCAGATTCCTAGGTAACAATAATTTATTGCTAGAAACATTATTCATATTCACCCCCTAGCATGCACTCACAGACATTTAATTACATTTCATTTTATTTAAATAAGCACTTGCCTGGAATCTCTACTTCTGAATGAAAAAGGAATGCAAATGTTTGGTGTCTTCAAAGGTTATCAGTGTGGGACATTCTGGTATATTTTAGAGCCAAATTTTGCTTTCAGATACAAGTATACAACTCTAGTCCATGTGTATTGTGCAAATCCATCTGAGATACTTGCCATATATGAGTTTCTCTCTCCTTGGGGAACCATCAATCAAGCCAGAGACAGCTGTGGTCTCCTTTTATTTTCATATCTTTACTTCAAAGCCTGCCAGGACATCTTCCTCAGTTCTACAGGTTGTCAGCTGGTTTGCCGAAAGCCAGCTGCTCTCTAGCTTTGGGGAAGCTAGAATGTACTAAAAGAACATAGGGAAGATTTCTAAGTCCTATCAACAATGGAAAAGGAGACAATTTTCCAGATAACAGTGATGAGGAGCCATCTACAAGAACTGGATAACTATAGAGAGCACATTCAGTTTTGGCCAGCTAGGACTTCTGTTAACTGGATTAAGACTATAAATAAAAATTATTTTTTCTGGAGACTCCATTGCCATCACTGGTAACCATTGTGTAAAATGTGGCAATAACTGGAAAAGAAATAGCAGGAAGAATTGCACTTATATTTTGTTCCTGCATCAGAAAGTGCTTTGATTCATAGAGCAAAGGAAGCAAGAGACTGAAACTGCAGTGTTCAGAGAAAGAAGAGATGTCATTGTGTTAACTACATTGCTTTTTTAAAGTTTCCTTTACTTCCACCATAGCATGCTTCAGAAGAGAATTGAATTTCTCTCTAAAGACAAAGGGCGGCAAGAAGACTAGAAGAGCTGTCTGGAGAAGGCACCATCTGCCTTTGCTGGACTGACTGTTCCAGAGGAGTCTGCATAAATGGATATGGAGCGTCGGAAATAAATACTGATTCATATATTTTGACAACTGTAACTTAAAACTTCAAGTTTTGTGTTTATATTAGTTTTGCTTAATAGAAGAAAGATTTGACTTTGCCTGAGGTTAATACTGTTCCTGGGTGGCTAGAGACGGCCACAAAGAAACACACCCTTTTTCTTTTTCACATTAATAAAGCTTTTAACATGTTTCTGGCAAATTGGCAAGAGAAGTGCATGTAACTCATAATTTGTGATTTAAATGCAATCATGAACAAATAAATGCCTGTTGAGATCTTATTATTTATGGACTGAACCTGCTTTATGACAAAATTACTCTTTTTGGGCAAGAGCCAAGCATAAACACCTATTAAGTTTTATTTTAATCATAAACCATAAACATTCTCAGTCTGTCTCACACAGTCCTGCCTATTTGGAAGTAGTCTACATTATAGGAACTTGTATGAATTTTACAGGTCTAATATAAAGGCTCATACACACAGAGTGGAACTTTTTTTACCTTGAAGGACAGCAAATCATTATCAGTTTGCAGGGCCCATGAACACATATGGAAATAAGACACAGATGAATTGTAAGAAAGAGTAAACAACTTTCCTCTTTTTGGATTAGGTGATTTCTTCATTCTTCAGTAAGAGGCAAGAGAGAGAGAGAAAATATACATGTATGTAAGAACCTTCACCTGTCCTAATAAGCAGAATATGTTTCTTTCAGATTTAAGATTAAGTTTTTGCTCTAACATGGCTGTAGTATTTTTTTTATTAAACAAATAAAAAGGGACAACCTTATAATGACCTACTTACAGGCCTAGGACTGGCTTCTGCAAGATGTTGAGCATTCTGGCCTGGATCCAGCAAAGCACTATAGTGTGTGCATTTCTTTAAAAGAATTAAAAGATGTCCATATTTTCTTGTTATCCAAACATCATTTATTAATTTCTACTTCATATATACATTCCTCAAAAGCCAAGAGATCAATTGTCCTTTGATGCCTGTGATGTTTAATAACAATTTTTTTATTATCTATCTATATCTATATATAATTACAAGTCATTTTCTCTGCATTTTCTTTTTTTATTTTAATGTCTCGTCTCGACGAGAATGTATTTTGATATTTATCTGTTCACTACTCTTGAATACAGAAATACAGATATCTGACTTTTGCATGCCAAATAAAATAAAATTAATAGATTTCTACAATATACAATTGATAAAATAGACACCAACTTATGGATACTTTAAAAAAGAGCTTGGGTGCTCACCAAAAATTAAACAAAACTGAGAGTACCAAAGTCCAGAACTAAGGGTGTTAAAGAGTGGGTATTTGGCTAATGGTGTAGTTTATACAATTTGTATTAACTACACAATTAGTTGATAAGGAGAGGTGCTTTTCAGAGTTGCAGAAGGGGTAGCTCCAGGAGCCGGAACTGCTGCAGCTCTGCCTTTTAAATGGACTCAGAGCCTGGTGGCTCTTACTACATTTAAAAGGCAGAGGAGCAGTGGGGTTAGCCCCCGGGGCCGGCGGGAGCCAAGACTGCTTAATCCTGGCTCACCTCGGCTGCAGCCCGCCTCGGGTCACTCCTGAGTAAGAGCTGCTGGATCTTACTACATTTAAAAGGCAGAGTAGCAGTCTGCTGCTGGGACTGCTCAGTTCGGCTCACGCCGTCGACGGAGTTATGTAGATTAGGTTTCTAGACATAGGAAATGAAGCGGCGATTTAAATAATCGCCGCTTCATTTATATCAAAATGGCTGCTGCGCTGTACTGATCAGCTGTCTGGCAGCACAGCACGGTAGTCTGGACGCTCCGCGGTCCACGAGGCATAACGGGGCAGTCAACAAGGGCTTCCCAGACTACCGCACTATGCCGCCAAACAGCTGATCAGCACAGCGCTGCAGCCATTTTGATTTAAATGAAGTGGCGATTACTTAAATCACCGCTTCATTTCCCTATGTTTAGAAACCTAATCTACATGGCTCCGTCGATGGAGCCATGTTGTCTAGACATACCCACCGGGTCCAGCAGCCCTTGTTGGCAGTGGCCTGGGCTGACACTGGCAGCAATCCCAATCTGTGCCTAAGCCCGCCGTGGGCACGCATTGCTGCCTCTAACTGATGCAGCAGGGGCGGGGGGAAGGGTAGGTAGGCCTCTGATACAGAAGCATCAAGTGGTGGAAGCGAGTAGTCAAACACTTATTGAGCTTAGGCTTATCGAGTGGTCAAGTATTCAATTACTTGCTCATATCCCTGTCCAGAACAAGTGCATTAGGGGCAGTGGTGTCATCTACCAGGGTAAACTATTGCACAACATCCTCAAACCCCATAAAGGAGGAGTTCAGCTTCTACATCCATTCAGACCTTGGTCTACCTTTTGAAACTACAAAGAAGTCTCACAAATAATGGCAGTTGTGGTAATTAGTTTGAAAGATGGATGTGTGTGCAGTAGGAACTAGTTGAGACCATCAAATTATGGAATACAAACAAAACATTCATCATCTGCTGGTAACCTTCGACTATTTTCAACTTGGTTTTAGTAAAACCATTAACGTAGGGTAGAAGACTATTTATCGCATTACCACTCACCTCAGCCATTATAATGTTACTTTAACATTTTAGATGAAAGAATGGTACCTCAATTTCATCATTAAAGTAAGCCAGCAGATCACTAGTTCCCCCTTATTCAGATAGCCGTACTAACAGAAGGCTTTTAAAACTCCTGCATTTATAGGATCATCAGCTACAAATATTTAAATGTCAGATAAAACCAGGATAGAAACTTTGTTATTAGAATATGATTTGTGGTTCAATCATATCCTTGGCAGGTCCAATTAGTCACCACAAAGGACTCGTTGTATCTCTTCTCTAACAGATTAGTCTGAAAAGGAGAAATCTCATCCATGTCAGATAATTTAAGAAACAAGCACACTAAATGTTTCCCCCTTCCAAGCAACAGAAAGGAACAGATTTCCTACCTCATCTAGGTCTTTTCCTGGCACGGCCAATAGCCAACATTGCTGTGCTACCTTCAGCAGAGAACATTTGCAAAATCCCACATTTTCAGTGAAAATAGAATCTGTCACTGTGTTCCTTCCTTCTGCCAAATCCCAGAGGCAGATCTTTTGGTTACGACCCTGGCTTTTACAATAGAAAATAAATACACTCTATGTGATCATTTATAAAATGAGTGTTTTTGCAATAACAACAATATATAAGTTATAATAATTTACACATAATTACAAAGGTCAGAATCACAAACATAAAAACATCACAAACATAAAACATAGCTGATATAGCAGTTTCTTGCAGAAATGAAAGCAAAACTTTCTATGTGTGTAACCAAATGAACTAGGCAAATGACTACAAACCATGTAAAAGAAGGGTAAAACAACCCCCCACCACTAGATAAGGCACTCTAGACAAAAGTAATACATGCAAAGAGATAAATATTATGTCAAAAGATTCTAGCAATATTTTATCTCCACAGAGAGTTAACAGAAGAAGAGCAAACCAGTAAAATGATGAGTAATAAGGGTTAATAAATTGGCTGAAATTTCCCATGATATGTTGGGCCAAAAGATGAGGCTGCATCCTGGTAATGCTGATGGAAAGGATGCACAAGAGTCACACCTCCTACTGCCATGGGTGGGGTCTTTGTGCTGTCTCACATACTCAGACAGAGAAAGTTACAATTGAGGGGAAGGAATTAAAAATTCCATAGTTATTTGACTCCAGTTGCCCCATTACACTGTTGTTGCATAGAAGATATGGTTGTTACTCCACGCCATAAGCTAAAACAGTACAATAGCTTGTCTCTAGATAGAGGTGATGGATTTCACCCCCCTTACCTTTTGCACTCCATGGCTGTGTCTACATTGGCATCCCTTTCCGGAAAAGGGATGCTAATGAGACACTTCGGAATTGCAAATCCGCGGGGGATTTAAATATCCCCCGCGGCATTTGCATTTACATGGCTGCCGCTTTTTTCCAGCTCGGGGTTTTTGCCGGAGAAAAGCGCCAGTGTAGACGTGATTCTCCGGAAAATAAGCCCTTTTCTGGAAGAACCCTTATTCCTACTTGAAAGTTAAGAAACAAGCACACTAAATGTTTCCCCCTTCCAAGCAACTTGAAAGTAGGAATAAGGGATCTTCCGGAAAAGGGCTTATTTTCCGGAGAATCACGTCTACACTGGCGCTTTTCTCCGGCAAAAACCCCGAGCTGGAAAAAAGCGGCAGCCATGTAAATGCAAATGCCGCGGGGGATATTTAAATCCCCCGCGGATTTGCAATTCCGAAGTGTCTCATTAGCATCCCTTTTCCGGAAAGGGATGCCAATGTAGACACAGCCCATAGGTATAGAACATTAATATTCAAAGCTTTATGCAGATAAAACAGATTTAACCCTAGGAAGTGGACTGAGACCATTCTCATTTAACACAGGTCTCCAAACCAGCATCAGATGGTAATAACTATTAGTCTCCAGTGGTGTGGAGTAGTTTGAAAATATTCTCTTATCAATATACTGAAACCTGCTCTTCACCAGAAATCAAATCATTACATTGTTTTTAAAGTTTGAACATACATAGTCAATTCAGGGACAAATTATAAGCAACTGCAGGTGCATACCCAATATTTGTTGTCAACAAGCCTGAAGCAATGAATTAGTGAAATGCACTCTGTAAATATTCAAGTATATGTCCTCAAGTTATGATTTGAGATAAGGAGCTCCTCCAAGCCTTTCTTCCATATATTAAATTGTACAAATTCAAGTATTTTTTATTCTTATTAACAGTTATCTCACTTGACAGAAGTATTAAACAAAAACAGAGTTATGTACAGTACCACCCCGATTTTATGACCTTCACTCTTATGAACCATTTTTCTGCTGCTGAGCTGACCTTTCTGCCATAAAATGTGACATCAATCCTTCAGATAATGTATACGTGACTGTACAGATCTGAAAAGACAGATTTAGCAGCAAAAAAAGATGCTATTTTCTCTCCAAAAAAAATCAGGCATACTATATGTATTTGTTAAAGTACATTATCACTGAACAATTAATAAATTAAGTTATGTGTTCTACCTTCTATAATTTTGAAATGTTCAGTTTTATGAACTTGGATTTTATGAATTTCTCAATCCCAGTTAGTTCATAAAAAAGGAACTGTATTGAATACATGAATTGTAGACTATGGAACTTTACATTTCAAGACTATCAGGAGACGAGGAAAATGGTTTCTTCTGGTTAAATTTTAGATGCAGAAATATAAGTAAAAATAGAGGTAACTATAGCCCTAGAATTATAATAGATACTTAAAGCATCCTGATACTGTAAATACAGAGAAGAAAATAGATGAAGGAGAAAACTAGATAATTAGATGAACAATGTTCAATATAACATTTCTTCAGGAGCTTACCTGAATTTAACCAGACAAAAAATATAAATGCTAATGAGCAGTAGAGAGCTTTACAAGAGATGTCTTTTCCTGATAAACATGTCAGAACACCTCAAAAATCACACAGATGTTTTGGCACTTGCTGCAGAGAAGATGGATCACCTGTGTATTCCAAGGTACACAGCCACCTCTTAAACATCCCTCCTTGCAAGAAATGTAACATATTTTACAATGGATTGTGAATATGTAAACTTGCCTTCTTATTAAAATTTGGTGGATACTAATTTGTCATTCCTGCATTCCTACCACATCCCTCAATCCTTTATTTTTTCTCTCTTGAGCTCACTTACCATCTTTGTCTTTATAATTTATTACTTTATAACTTGACTATCTCTACACTAGCACTTTTTTTTTGTTGGTATAACTTAGGTCATGCAGGGGGTTGAAAAAAACCAGCAGCAGATGATCACTTCCATTGGCATTAAATGGCTACACAAGCAATCTGATAGTGGCATAGTCCTCTAGTGTAAATATGGCCTTATTCTATATTTCTCTTTTTCTTTTTAAATACCAAGTGGAATATTTGTCAATTTATACCCAAATTTACTTTCTTCACATGAAAATATTAGGTTACCTATATTTCATTATTATACTAATAGACACCACAAATACTGAATTGTGATGCTGTAGTTACAAGAAGTAGTATTTACTTTGAAAAAAATCACGAACATTATTTAAGGTGTTCTCAATTTTTTGTGTGTGTGTGCGGCTTTAAGTTTATCCCTTTATTGTAAATAGTGTCTCACTTTTGTTTTGGATATTTAGAGACAAGACTTACAGTGACTTCAGAAATTAGTGACACTTTCTTATCAACTAAGTGTAGCAACAAGTTTAATACAAACACGACAATTTCTTGCCCGTTTTGACTACTTCACTGACCTGAGGAGCCTGTCTTTGCCATAGATTGCTTTCACGCAGTACACAGATTTTCCTTCATGGCCATCTAGAATTGTGTCCACCCTGCGTGTCTTCAGGTTCCAGATATGGATCAGCCCATTGGAAGACCTGATAGAGGGAACAGATGACATTTTCTGTGACAATCATGTAAAATTGGGTATGAAATTTTGCTGTTCTTCCTCCTTCTTGGACTCTGAAGTATTATGTATGTACGAAGACTTCATTCAATGCCCCTACCCCTTACTGGAAATACGTTTTGTTGTTTTTCCTAGCTATAATATGTGCTCTTTTAAAAAAAAAAGTTTGAAGGAAGCTTATCTCTGCAACAACTTCTGGTAGGAAATTTACTGGAAGGCCTCTACTCACCCAGAGAAGAGAATGGGGTAGTTGGGTTCTTGGCCTCCACAGTAAAAATGTAGAGTATTGACTTCAGCACTAGTACCCCGTAGAACAAACTGTGGATCTGGAGGTGGAAGAGCCATACCAGCAATAAACTAGACACACCTTTCCAAGAAAAGAAAGAAAAGAAAAGCACAAGACTTTCTTAATCACAGTGTTAAGAAGCATATATTACGAATAACAGAACTGCAAATGTTCTGAGCTTTAAATGTTTGCCTCAAAAGTCTACACTTTTCCCTGACATAAAATGTGATGTTGAAGCCATTTGCCAATGTTCCCTCATAGATGCTTGATCTATACATGTATCAGATCTGCTTCTCATTTCTATCCATCCATTCTAAATTGTGAGAAGTGCTGAGTTTACTACATGGATATGCACTCACTATATATTAGAATATACAAATGTGTTAAGCTATTCAACATGTTGCAAACTAGACTCGTAACTTGTGAAAAATACAAAACACAAGGAATTGGAAACACAAATTCGATGGAGCACGCACATTTACCATTCCAGTTAGGTCCTTCGCAATTCTTTTCCCTTTCCTAACAAAATAATCCCTTCACTGTGTTCTCTGGCATTGGTATACATATCCACTCAGAAGGATTTCAGGTAAGATTAGAGCGATAATCATGTTTACCGCAGTTTCATCACTCCCAAGTGCTCCAACTTTTGGTTCCAGGCATGATTATATAAAAAACCAAAACAAAACAAAAAATCAAAGCAGCACTTCTTTTTAACTTTACTACCATTATGCTGAATGCTGCATTCAGAAGGTCTGTATTCTTCACAAGATCAGGAAACGGATATAAATGTTTTTGCCTATAGGTCATTCATTCAAATATGGCTCAGCACCAGTAAAAATCAAGAATTACCATTTGATGTCTGGGCTGGAAGACTATAAGGCTGCAATTCAACAGCACTCTTAAGCATATGCATAAAACTTTAAGCACACGAATAATCCTGTTGAACTTGACAGAGCTAGTCATATGATCGATCCAGTTAGGCATGTTCTTAAATGCATGGGTGGATCCAGTCTTAGCAAAACACATTCACAGCACAAAAATGCCCATCAAAATGAATGCCTTTGTAGACAATTTCTGCAAAGACAACAAAGACTGGATAGCAATGAAAACTAAACAATATTTCAACTTGCTAGAGAAGATCCTCCAGAACAATGCTGAGGTATAGCTATTAAATTAAGGACACAGTAGTGAACATTATAAGCAATTTTTACAAATAATCCTTTCTGTGTGGAATTAATGGCCATGCTCCATATGCTAACTTTCTATCTCTTAATGTGAACACAGGCAATAAAGTAAGAAATGTGTAGACTGAAAGAGGACACTGTCATCGGGAATGTCAATCATCATGACTCTTTCAAAAAGCTGTTTACTCATGGGTTCCACCAGCCCAACGACTCATTTTATAAGTTAAAGTCAACAGGTTTTTTTATGCCAACTGAGTCATAAAGGAGGCATCACAGAAAAGTAAAACTAAGTATTACATGGAAGATTAAAACATTTCAGTTATTAAGTAAACACTCATGATGCTTTCCTGTATGATTTGAACTCTTCCTTTAATAAACTGATGTGCTGAATACTGCACCTCAGTTGAGATGAGAGAAATTTAATTCTTCCTTTTTAGTTATATAACAGTAATCACCATGGTATCTAGAATTCTAAATTAAACAAATATTTTAGGTATAGTAATGGAATAAGCTTTTACAATCTAACATACCTTTCTTCCTCAATAGTATTGTAAAGTAAGTTCCAAAAATAATGAGCTCAGTGTGTAACTTCCATGTTTTAAGGCACTGATTCACCTATTTTATGATGTGTGATGAGCCAGACTCATGACAAGTCTAGAATAAATTTTCAGATGATTACATGCTTGTGCAAGGTGTTACCCATGATGAGAGTCAACCCATTCAACTCTTTCTGTAATGTACATCATGCTGATTATGAGGCTGTCCATTACTTTGTCACTGAAGGTCACTTGATCAGAGATCCATAACTATATCCAAAACTATTCTAATAACCCTCAAAGTGACAATTTGTCTTTCGAATCATCTGCACATTTAATATAGCTAACACAGATTATGTTTTAGGGAGGTGTCCCTTTTATGAGGGAATAATTCCAAAGTATAGTTCTGAGACAGGGAGGGATACAAAAATGGAACTGAGTCAGCCTAGAGGCTATCTGGAATTATGAGGCAGGATTTAATAGTATTTTTTTAAATGATCAGCACAAAGGTTTTGCTGACAGACTAGAAGTGTGTGCATGGAAGTGAAGAGGATTTTAGCTGGCATGAAACAGATGCTCCTTTGCATTTCTTTACAAAGACAATAATATAGAAAAATCCTCAGACTGGGGGATATAGGAAAAATATTAGTAAACATAGTTCATTTAGTTATGGATTCAAAGTAAATTTTCCGTCTTTGGAAATGGGATTTTGCTAGTTATATATATTACTTTGGAATTCTGGATTTAATAGCATATGGCTTTTATTAATAGCTCCAGATTTTGTTTTGCTAGGGGATGAGGTTATTTTCTATTATTAATTGCTATTACTAAACTATCAGAGTTCTGCACAGCAAGACAGACAGCAGTGCTTGATGAGATGAGGCAGCATCACTATTTTAAGTTTTCTACTGATCTGTGACCTAGTTGTGACAGAGCAGTTTGAGCAACAATCAGGGAACTCCTACATTCTAACACCAACTCTTGTTTATTCCCTCTGCAAATTTTGTCAAGTCACTTAAGGAGATTTTCAAAGATATGTAAGTACCTGAAGATACAGACAGCTGTCCAGTGAGATTTTTCAAAAGCATTTAAGTGCCTGCCTTCAACATTTTCAAAAACCCCTAAATGATTTAGGAACCTAAGTTCCCCTTTCAAAAGTGACTAATGCTGGTATCAGACCAGAGTCAGGACCCACAGCTCTAAGCAGCAAAGTGAGACTCAGAGAAGGAAATTCATAAAATATGCTTTCAAAAAAAATTCTCTGTCCTAGACTATAAGCTTGACCCAGAGGCACCCAGATATAGTGATCACTGGCTTCCAAAAACAGTACTCTGGAGGACATGAATTAAGTTTTGCTCATAACATTATTTGTTTGTAAGAGGACACCAGCCTGGAGAGATGCACACCACCTTGCTGTAATTTGGTCTTGTTATTTAAATAGACATTAATCCTTTTTTTTCCCCTAGCCTTTCCTGCGCTGGTAACACTCTCCTCCTTCAGGGACCAAACTGTGCCCCAGAAGTTCTTTTGACAGGGTACAATACAAACCCTAGACATATTATGATGATTACTCTTGATCCACCACCAATTGCATGCTGACTGGAAAAATCCAGGTGTCCAGATTGATATTCCAGTTAGCAAATTACTGTGCATGTCACACAGGGCTCTGCTATGCAAAACATGTTTCTACTGATATTGGAAATTGTTTAGTCTTCTCAAAAATATAAAGTTACTTAATTTTAGAGAACAAACTACCAGTAACAATAACTATAAAAAGTTTACCTTGCTTAGCATGTAATTAAGGGAACTTTGAGTTTCTCTGCAGTTAGAAATGAATTATTCCAGCATTTCATAAAAACGAAAACAGTTGATCTTTCAATTAATAATTGTTATTTAAAATGAAATTGTCAGAAAGATTATCTTACAAAAATCTCACAGAGAATTAAAAACATTAACAGATTCCCACAGAAAATATTCCAGATGAATTCGACAACTCTCCTGTTCCCATCATACACTGATGCAAAAACAAACTGCTAGTAAACTATCATTCAAGCAACGTACCAATCCCAGAGTTTAATCTGAGATACAGGTTGCTTGAGCAAAGATTTAAAAAGGCTTCCTATTCTGAAGTCATTCACAGAGTAGCAAAAAACCGGTGCTACCCAGAGATTTTTTTTAGGCATGCCAGAGATAAATCTCTCTTAGCACGTCTGGCAACTGACTAGGGACTTTAACTAGCAGGTGTTCAGATAGAATTATTACTGCAAAATATCCAACACATCCAGGTGTGCTCATCATCAAATATATGAAATCCCTTTTATTTCTGGAAATTCCTAGCCTACCAGGTGCCAGCCTTGCGAAGAAGAATAAGATTAAAGAATTAGTAAAAAAATATGAATAACCTTTTTTCCTTCCCTGTTCTCATGTATGAAAGCCCTCTCCAGACTGCCCTTCTGTCTTTTCCATTTGGTTCAAAGGGTAACTTTGGTCCTTTCATAAGGATCTTTAAGGCATGTCTTCCACATCTTATATTTAACTAACCAGATATGACTATATAGCATATGCATTCAATAATAATATTCCATATGTAATTTCAAACAAAATTGGTGGAAAGGGCAATTATATTAAGTTAATAGCACCTAATAATCAACTTATATTACCCACAAGTCCATTTTCCATTTTAAAATATGGAGGTAGCCCTTGTAGTATTAGATTTCTAAAGAGCTCACTGAGCCAATCTTGTCCATATTTTCTGTCTATAAATCATAAAAAATGAGCTCTCATGAAATATCTTCCTCTGCCCCCAGCAGTACCTATAGTAGATGGATGCATTTAAAAATTGTGGGCCTCCCCCAATCTTAAGCAACCAGGCTGGATCAACAGAGACTCAACAGCCAACTGATGGACCTTCTGCTAAATTTACTCTTCTTGAAATGCCAAAACACAATGAAACTAGCCCATACTTCAGACAACAGTAGTTTAAGCAAATGCTATATGGCATTTCTAGAAGGTTAAGGATCAAAGTCCACAATTACAAAGTACCCACTTTATCCAAACAAAACTAAAATACAGATGGTTTAGCTGCTTCCAGATACATCTGAAGAAAGCAACTGAACTGCTTATTTCAGAGTATTTGAACTCAAAGAGTGCTGGCAGTTTATTGCATACTAAGAAAATGTGCTCTAAAAGCAGGTTAAATAGTTGGCAACACACATATGCTCACTAGCCTTTTGTGGTAATTTTTCAGCTCATTGCTTTTGAGTTTGACACTGCAAATCCTATAATCTTTACATTTAAACATAGAATTAGGGAAGAATATTTCAATGGGAGAAGTAGATGAGTAAATGGATGTTCAGTTTGTGCTCCATAATAAGCTAAAAATGTAACCTGACTTTTTTTTTTAAATGAAGCAATCTGGAATTCAAATCCAGATTTAGACTACATGGAACAAGAGCTTGACATTCTCATCCTGGATTCCATTTATACACATTGCACCTTCACCATAAAATTTGATATAACTGCCAAGCTCTCCTCAAGTAAAACACAAGAGAGAACCTGCACTGCATACTGAGGCAAGAACTGGGGTGCACTGGTAGATCTCCGGGTTAGAGGGAAGCTTGCCTGCATGTGACAAGTGGCTTGCTTAAGACATGTGAGCACTACATTAACTTCTGAAAAATATGCTCAGAAAACATGAATATGAAAACTACGCTTTTTACTTTATAGGTCTGTTTGATATAATTTTTGCTATACTACTAATAAAATAGTAATAATAATTCTACATATTGTATTTTAGTGTTTGTGTTTAAAAAGCTAATTAAGTATATATAATGGGGTTTAAATAGAATGATCTGACACATGAAACACACAAGATTCATTTCTTTTAGCAATGTGTAGATTCTGTGTTTTACATTAACAATAGCCAATTACTTTGTATACTTATTCTTTACCTACATTTATCCTCAGATATCAGGGTAAAAGTAGGAATTAATTATACAAAAACATTAAAGCTTAAAAGATGCGTGTTAAAAACAAAGCTAAACTAAAATCATTGCAAAGGACTGGAACTGTGAATTGAAATATGAACAAAAATAACATAACCAAGAGATTTCC